CCCAAAAAAAAAAAAAAAAAAAAAAAATAGGCTTCATGTTAGAACATCCATTTTCCCACTACTGAATCTTTTAATTTGAGTACTTTCCTCTCAACAATTCATTACACAAGTTGATTCTACTGTGAATTCAAGAGCTAAGGTTTTCATATAATTTTAAACTTAGGATTTTCAATCTCAATTAAGACAGGAAACATTCCATTCCATCTGCTTATGAGAAAGCATTATACACCCAAAATGCCAAAAAGCATAATCACATAATAATTTTTAAATATTTGTCAGAACCTAATAAGCATATAAATTAAAGTTAAATTTATTCTGAAATTAACTGATTAAGAAAAATAGAGTACTTTCTAAAAGACAAAGTTGAAATCACTTACTTTCTGCTCAGCATTTTCCTGAAACAGAAGTCCAAAGTAGTCCTTCTCCAGGAGATTGAGGTGCTCACACACTCTGTCAAATAACACTTGTCCCTTAGCGCGTTTCTGCAGAAAAACAAAGCAAATCTTCACTTTTCTAAAGGAGATCACAAAAGGGAAACAGGAGATGTTGACTGGGAAAGGGAAAGAATGCCTGTGACCTGAAAGACAAAGGAAGACACTGGGGCTGGAAGAGCACAAGAGAATGAAGAGTGGGGCGGGGGGAACAAGAACAAATTTTGTAGGAAAAAAAGCCGTAATAAAATGTTTTTGTATAGTAATATATTAAAAAATTATCTTAAAAGCACAACTGATTTATTACAAATTCATATAAAGTATTTGTTTTCAAATGTTATAACAATGCAAAAGATTATTCTAAAATGAAGGCCTAACTAAATGCATTCTGTTTTATTGCTATTCTTATTAATTACTAAGAAGAGTAGAAAAACAAAATGCTGACTGTTCATCTACTCATATAAACCACAGTAAAGACATATGTTCAAAGTGTTTCCCTCAAAATCTGAAGATGACTCATGACATTTCCTAAAAGAATGCTGCCCTATGAAAACTGTCTGATGTAACTCATACAACTTACCCTATCAGCACTGAGGCTTTATTTGTTTATTTATTGTTGTTACTGTTTTTCCAAGATATTTGTAGAACACCAGGCTGTAAATTACACTTTTATTTTTATTTTTCTAGAGAATATAGTATTCATTCTTTGGAGATCTAAAAGCTCCAAGAAGCCACAGAAAAAGGGGTCATCATTTAGCCAGTGACAAAGCATACCCATTTCCAATTCAAAGGCATAAGCTTGGAATATCCCAACTGTGAGTTCAGTCAGACATGTCTCTCCTCCCCAAGGCATGTACAGATGCCACAACTAGATGGCCAGTGAGATTAGAACAGGGCCAATAAAAGGCTCAGTGAACACCCCAATATCAAAATATGCACCTGTCCATTCATGCCGTACATAGAAATTACACACACACACACACACAAAGACAGAGAGAGACAGAGGGAATCAATTGATCAATCTCGGGGAGTAGAATCTGGTACTTTTACTACTAAATATTTCATAATAACATTTCTAAAATATGGTTATTATGTCAGTAGTAAATGAAAGAAGGAGAAATTCACACCAATTACCACAGCAATGTACTACATCCATCACTGTGGATTCACAATCAGTGGATGATATTTAGTTAAGTTACTCAACTAGACATGTGCTTCTATTATTTACGTATTTACAGTATATAGAAACACTGGGAATACACCACTACCTCTAACAAGATGTATAACTGAAGTTTTCAGAATTGTGAGTGAGAATAATACAACATACCATAAGCATATGGCAAGCATGAAGTAAATTAAAATATGTAGCCACTGGTTATGGTACTTGAAATTAGGAATATTTGAAAGGATTATCTAAGACAATGTCTATAAATATATACATCACAGAGGAAAACATACTCCAACTTGGCTTAAAGTCCATTTTTATAAACTCGTATCTCTTCACTAGTTTCTACCTCAGAGACATGCTCTACTGGACAGTATTTATCCTAAAAGACTAGGAAGAACACACCCACAAAGCCAGCCCCCCAGTCTGGTGCTAATATGCTGAGCCCCAGCCTGGGCACTGGAGTCAGACCCAGTTCACCATCACTCAACATTTCGTGAACATCATTTCTGATACTCGACAGTGTGACAGTGGGAAAACTACACAGTCTCCTATCTGGAAAATGGAGACAGTGACTAACGACTCTCCATAAGAATCATATTAAAGCGACAGGACACATCAAACTGTCCGGATCAATCATAGCTGAATTCTACTTCCAGCTGTTCTTTGACTTAGCCCATGTCTCACAATTATCAAAACACTGTGTGATGTGCAGGCTGTTCCTCCTCCTAGGCTTCCATCCCTAAGACATAGACATTTTAGCAGCTACTAAGAAGCTGACTGAGTGCGCATAGTTGTAACCCAAACTCCCATTCAGAATCTCTACTCTCCAAGTGCTATGGGAGCACTAAGAACCAGTAACTGTACCTAAGAAAACACGGCTTTCTCAAGAATATGACATCTCATGTGAATCTTAAAGGAGGACACGACTTCAGGAAGTAGAGAATACAGACATATAAGAGGTATTATTTTTCACTTTGGGTGTTTATTAAAGGCCGGCAGGGTGAATTTCTGCTCAGAGATACTGCAGGACACAGTAAGATGGAAAAGGAAAACCATCTCACAATGAACAGGCCATTCGTTCTAACTGCTAGGTACCGCCCCACGGACAAATGACTGCAGAGCTTGCCGAGCTAGAAGGCGAACATATACCAATCCAGCAAGAGTAGATGTCAGATCCTGTGTTAAGACAGTAGAGAAACAATGATGACTAAAATATAAATGATCTCAAGAAATTTTATCCAACTGTCAAGGACAGAAAATAAATAGGAGAAGAAAAATACTGCCTTGCTGATAAGCACTTGAAGATGGTAATGAGAGAATTAAATTAAGTGTGTGACATGATTAATAAATGTTTGAGGTGTTTCATTTGAGGATTCACAGAAGACCTGTATAGGGCTTTTTGTGAGCTGTTCTAAAAAAAAAAAAAGGCTGGTGTTAAATATGATTTTAAAAAGGTTCAGTTATTTTATTCAACCTCCTTCGAAGTTACAGGAAGTTGAAATGATCCAGTTTTCCTGTCTGCTTAGAATTAATGCTATCTGTAAAGTGTAACACTTACACATCTGTCTAGGGAAGCAACTTATCTTCTCTGTTCAAGCTAGGGTTCTTAGAACGTAGGCCAGGTTGGCCTCAGTTTTGAGGTCCTCCTGCCTCAGCTTCCTGAGTGCTGGATTATATTCATGGAAACTATGTCCAGCCATCGGTTTGTTCTCTTATATACAATTATAGTTCTGTTACATGAAAGGACCACGAAGGAACATCTGCCAACCAAGCAAAATGAAAGACAGTTTCCTTTACAACTTGTATCTAAAATAGCCGTTTGTGTGTATGTATACAGAGATACATCTTCCGGAGTTGCTTGAACATATATGATTTCAGGGCTGACCACTTGGTACTGGACAACCAGTTAAGGGCTCATCCTCAGGAAAGACTAATTATCTCCTCCACACACCCCAGCAATAGTCAAAGAAAAAGAGGCCACAAATTTGAAAGGGGCTGTAGGTGGGGCTAAAGGGTATCAGAAAGGTTGGAGGATGACATGGGAAGCATTGCAGGAAGGAGATGGAAGTGAGAAAATTATTTAGTTGTATTTTAATTAATTTTTTTTTTCAAAATTAAAAAAAAAGTATATATAGTTGGTTCATGGGCTATTATTTCAGTTTGGGGTTATCGTCCCATATAAGGAAGATCCTCAAATCCATTATTTTCATTTTTTAAAACCATGTTTTTGTGCCACAGGGCACATACAGAGGTGGGAGGACAACTTGTAGCACCGGGTGGGTTTTGTAGGCGGAAATGGGGTAAGGGTTGGCAGCAGGTTCCCTAACCCATCTGAGCCAGTTCACCAGCCTCTTCGACTGATTTCCAAATGTCAACTCTGCCTCTGCTTCTCAACAAACCTCTACATCCTCATCTCCTATAAAATCTATTCCAGTCTCCCAACATTTCAACCTTCTTCCTCAAGAACTTTTGTTTGTTTGTTTGGTTTGGTTTTTGAGAGGGTTTCTCTGTGTCCCTGGCTGTCCTGGCGCTCACTCTGTAGACTTGAGAACTTTATTTTATACCTCTGGCACTCACTCTTCTCTTCCCTTCTAAATCACTTTAGCTTTTCAGTGCCTGGGTTCTTTAAGAAAGGCGTAACTTACCTCAATGCCTCCTACAGCAAGTAGCACTTCGCTGAACTCTAAACCAGTAGGGACAATATTGGACAGCACGGCTCACGTCATCAGTGCAGGCCAAAAGTCTGGCAGAGTGGAGTCTAGAAGGCAGGCTTTCTGGCTGGCAGTCATACACAGTCTCCTGGGGCCTCATTCATGACTATCGGCCCACAGATTCAAGGACGAAAGCAAACACACACTGCCAATAAGTTTGGGAGAAGACTGGCCACAAACCTACATAAGCTTCTCCTTAGTAAATGGGAGCATTTCCAGACACCTTTGGAGAACTACACAAGCAGAAAACCACTCCACATTTGTCCTACGAGCAGGCTACGCCCATATTTATACAAACAAGGCAACTGGATTTTTCACGCTTTGCACATTTCTTAAGACATTAGCTTCGCCGTTGTTTCATATTGCCAGCTGAAGCATCTCTTTACTCTATAACTGTTCTTATGTTAGCGCTTACATAAACTGTTTCGGTCTCTGTTCTAATGATGTAGCACTTAACACAACCATGTAATTAGGAACGGGGCACTACCTCAGGGGTAGAATCTTGTCTAGCATCTATGAGTTCCTTGGTTCAATCGTAAGTACTGTCACAAAAAGGGTTCATAAAACTTACCAAGCATACTCTGAAACAGGAATTTTAGTTTTAATCAATTCCAACAAGCTTAACAATCTGTTTCCCCCATACACCTAAGCAATACAGAACCAGGGAAGGGAAAGGTGCAGTGGGGGAGAACCCATCTACTTTCCAGGTGTCAATCAGACACTTTACGTATCTGCATAAGTGTGTGTGTGTGTGTGTGTGTGTGTGTGTGTGTGTGTGTGTGTGTGTGTCTGTGTGTCTGTGTGTCTGTATCTGTGTGTGTGCGCGCACACACACAGCAAGGAAATGCAGCTTTGGTAGGAGGGGTGCACACACGTGTGTCCCAGAGGTCAACTCTGGGTGCCTCCCTCATCATTCTCCACCTTATTTTTTGAGACGAGTCTCTGAATCCAAAGCTCACCGGTTCAGCTAAACTGCTGGCCAGCAGCAAGTCCCAGGGATCCCATCTCTGTTTCTCCACACACCACCTGCCACACGGGATTGTGTAAGTGGACACTAGGCGTTCAACTCCAGGTCCTCATGCTTGCACTGTACTGGCTGAGCCACCTCGCCAGGCCAGATCTTTTTGGTTCTGGTTTTGTTGTTTGTTTTAGAAGACACTGCATAATATATT